TATCTAGTCAAGCGTTTTTTTCTGCGTTTTCTTTTTTTCTCTTTTTTTTTCCTTTTTTTTTTTTCCTTTTAAATTCCCCCACCCATTCACAGAGGTATAGATTCACAGATAAATAACCCAAAAACTACTTGCTCGCCATATTTACACATTCCCGTTAAATTAAGCATAAATAAATATATACAAACTCAACACCGAATGCCTCTCCGCATTTCTTCTCAGGAAGAGTCGATAAACTGATATTTCTCACTTCGTGGTCAGATTTTTTTCAAGAAGAGGAGGTGAAAGGAATCATTGGGGGGCACAGAAAGGAGAGCGTATTTCTATCCTCTTTCATCTTTCTATTTCCTCCACCGTTTGCATTGGTTTGGTTTTCATTCCCTTTATTTCTCGCTGGCACACAACGTTTTGTCACTCTCGAAATGTTCCGGCGTTTGCCAGTGCGCTCAGGGATATTTCCTCTTATTTATTTATTACTTTTCATCTTTGTATAAGAAAATAGACTATTTGTAAAAAGCCTACGGTCTTTCACACAGGGAAGCCAGAGGGGAAGGGGCTTTTGCCCAGATCCATCTGGCAACGTTTAGGGCTGCCAAACCCAGCACCAAAATCTCCGTATTCAACCCAAACCAAATGGATCTGCATTACACCAATGGGAAAGGTACGAGAAGGGGAACTGACTGAGCCCTGGGAGGCAGCGAAATGTCTTAACATCATCCTTCTCCCCTCCCACCCAGCCCACATGGAAACTTGGGGCTATGGGGAGAGGTTGGGACCAGGATGCGAAGGGACTCGGAGCAGCTTCTCACAGAGAATTTCCATTGGGTGGGACAAGATGCAACCACTTGGTTTTAGAGAAACCGCCGCGTTGTGAAAGGTTCCCCGTAACATTGGCTTCGTGTTTCCTTCACACCTCGTGTGAATAGCAACCAGGAAAAGGAAGGAAAAGAAAAAAAAGAAAAAAAAAAAAAAAGAAGTCGAGGAGAGGACGAAAACTGAGCTCTTTCTAACAGCGAACAGAATTGTAATTAAAGAAGAAAAGGAAAAGTGAGGCTAAGTATGAAATAAAACTTACAGCGACCCACCTGTTTGGTTTGAAAACAAACTTTTCACAGACTCTCCTCAAACTTATCCCTCGAGTTACAGAGCAAAGCTGCCAAGTTAATCCTTCTGTTTATTGATTTACCATCCCGAGAAAAAAGGAATCTTTTAATAACTCAATTATCAGATAAACATCCACGCCACCCCGCCAACAACCATGAGTGGTTGGGCTGGGAAAGAGTAGGGCAACAGGGAAAGAGTTTCTAGTGGGAAGCTGAAATCAACTCTGTGGGTAACCTCCATCCTCAACACCCATAGCCATCAAGCATGGATGTGTCCTCTGGGGAGGAGATAGATGTGTCCTCTCATCAGAGATGGATGGGTACACTCCTACATCCTAATTTCTCCCTGCTTGCTTTTGAATCAGGAACCTCGTTGTTTGTTTCTTTGTTTTTCCTCTGGACTTTAGGAAGCACGAGAAAAAAAGAGAACAGGAGAACGGGGCAGTCCCTCTGAAAGCAGTGGGGATTTTATGTTGGCTTGAGCAAAGCACAGCCTGGCCTCTGAAGTCTGTCTCTTCCAGGTAGGAGGCACAAAGAGCAGATCCAAAGTTGCCACGAGTCGACTGAAACTCTCCCTTTGACTTTCCCAGGCTTTAGGTCCTGCTCCAGGAGACCAAACCTTCACCTAGGGAAGATGTCAGCAGCAGCAGGATCAGGCCCTCACACGTGTGTAGATCTTTCCCTGAGAAGATGCAAGCAGTTCCCTTTCCCCATTAAGCCACAGTGGTGGTGTGATGCCCTTTCACATTTAAAAGGAAGGAGCATCCCCAGCATCCCCTCCAACACTAAGGAGCACCCCAGTGTCCCCCCAGACCTTCAGCTGGAAGCTCCTGGGTGATGAGGAGTGGGTTTCCATGTCTCCCTGCCCCTGCTGCTGGAGAAATAGAGGGCTCAGCTCTAACCTGCATTCTCCCTGGTGTGTAGCATCCCCCCCCAGGTTGGGGATGTTAGAGAGTTTGGATCCATGTGTTCCTCACAAAGACAAAAATGGTGTTCAACACTGAGCTGGGTTTCAGAAAATAGTCTCAATGGGCAGATTTGCTTTCAGGTTGTGTCATTCATTCTTCTCCTTAGACATCCACGCACATCCCTTCTCCTCCTCATGCATTCTGCTGCATATCATGTGCTGGAACCCACTTTGTTGCTCTCCAGGGGGATGGAGGGCAGTGATGGGCAAGGAAAAGGCTTTGGAGAGCTAGGGCTGCTCTTCAGTCCAGGGGTCCCAAGCATCACAGTAGGGATTTTGTGAGATCTATATTGCCCAAGATTCTACATCTCCTCTGGAACATCTACAGGGATCTGCCAACTGCCAAACCCATTGCTTGCTGCGATAGCTGAAGGCTAATCCCAGCTCATCCTAGCAACCCACCTGCCTCTGTTTCCCAATCTCCTCACATGAGAATGCCCACAGCACTCTGCCCCACAGGGACCAAGGATGATGAGCATTTCACGAGGGCTGAGTGCTCCCTGGGCTTCTGTTGCCACATGTCCAACTCATGGGGGATGAAAGTTGATACTTTTGCTGTATTATCTAAGGTAGTTGGGGCATTATGGGTACAAATCAAGAGTTTCATCTGCTTTGCTTTAAGAACATTTTGTTGGAGGCCAAGGAGAAGTGTATTGCTAAATTATTTCTCTTCACTGTCTACTCTGGAAGATATTTAGGACTTAAACCAAGATAACGGCTTCTCTTGCCCACTCTTTGGGAATAAGTTGTGCCTACTCAGCTTGGTGGAACTGGGCACTGCAAACCTAAGAGAGATGCTAGAGGAGGCCATGGTCCCACTGAATCTTTGCCATCAACTCCAGGAGAGCCAGGCTTTACCCCACGCATACCCAGAAACTGTTCTGACATAGGCAAAAAGATGCATTAGCGCATGAATCCTGCCCCACTGAGAAATACATGCAATTACAATAGGGCAGAATCCAAACAGCAGTTCACATCCTTACACTTCAGTATTTTTTTTTTTTTTTTTTACCATATAAGAAAAAGATATGCTAAAAAAAAAAAAAGAAGAAATCAGACTTCCCCCACCCCTCCCAAATCATACGCATAAGACATCCTGTCACACACCAAACCACTGGGAAAAACATTGGAGTTCAGCAGATTTCCCCCTACTTCATCGACTCATGCCAAAGCAAGAGTCACAAGACAGTTCTGAAAAGCTTTCTAAGAGAAGCAGATTTCATCAGACTGAGATGAGAAACCAGGATATTCCCTGACAAACCCTCCCCGCTCCCATCACGAGGAGCCAACTCACATGGCAGCCCTTTCCTCCCTGGTACAAAGCCCCGGTGCAAAGCAAGCGCGGTAACATTCAACACAGCTCTTATTTTCTTTGCAGTATCACACCTCGATTTCAACTCATAGTTTTATCTCCTTCCAATTATTCCCTTTGAGCTTCTTTAAAGAAGTGCACCTACGGAATTCGGAAACAACTGGCTTTGATTTGAAAAAAGAAAAAAAAAGTATCAGAATATCAGAATTGTGGATTTTTTTTCTCTGTACCTGATATATTGTGTAGGGATCTCTAGTCCTCTTTGAAGAAGCTCATAAGCCAAGCGGGCAAAGCTTTAGGAAACAGAAGAAAATAAAATAGTGCATACTCCTGAGAAAGAATTACATACTCATATCACTCATTTTTTTTGTTGTTGTTGCTGTTAACAATTCTTTAAAAATGGGGAAAGATATCTCTCACACACACTCTACTCGAGGAAATTAAGAACTGAAACATTGGCATAGTTAGGAATATAAAACTCCCTAGAGAAAGAGGAGACCTCAGAAATTAAGAAATCAGATAGCACTGACTTTATACCAGACCTTACTTCCAAATTTTGCAACCCATTATAGACAAGGCATTGTACTAAATCACAAAGGTATGTTTGCATGCATGAATATGTGTGGTTAATGCACACATATTAGATATATATATGTATATGTCCAGCTATATACATATATATGTACAAACATACATAGCACACACGCAAACCCCCACGGGGTTATGTGCCTGCATACGCATATGCACACACATACTCACACACGCACACACATACACACCTGTAAACGTTGGCAGTTTAAACAGAGAGTCTGTCTAGACCAGGAAAAAATACAATAATGGGATTCTTAAAAACTAGAGTGAGCTAATTGGGTTGAGCTACCATGAGTCAAAGTGTCCCATCTGATGCCATTAAGCGAAGACACAGCCATGAGTGGTTGATGGTGATGTCTTCAAGAGAGGTCTGGGTAGCCTGGGCATTGTTTGCCCTCCTTTCCTAGTCTAGACAGAGCTAAGGGGGTGAGATGAGATGGGAAGAGTGGGGGGATGAGGTGATGGGTTGCTCAGAACACTCTGGAAGATTGTTTTATCTAAGGTGGAGACAGGACGTCGTTTAAAAAAATAATAATAATAATCAAATCAGAGTAAGACAGACCGTGCAGCTCAAGAAATCAAAGCACTGACACCAAAAATGTTTCTCCGATTTCTTCCAATAAGTTATTCATTTCTTTCTTTTATTATTATTATTAATTATTATTAGATTCCTCCCCTTCCCCAAATCATTATTTTAAAAAAATGTGAAAGAACAGAAGTGGGAAAAAAAAAAAAAAAAAAAAATCCTGGTGGTTGTCTTCACATGTTCCTGGCAAGAGACTCTGAACCACTGGTCTTGCGCCATTGTGCTCCTCTGATCTTAAATTATCGTCTTTCTTTTATTATTATTATTTTTATTATTATTATTATTTTGTTCTACCTAATAGAATTCTTCCAAAGCCCAATCCGATATTTTTAAAGCTAAAATTAAGACGGTTTTGTTTTAAAAGATTATCTCTTTCTCTCTCTTTTCTCCTTTTATTTAACTTTTTTTTTTTCCTCTTTTCCTTTCCTTTTTTTTTTTTTTTTCTTTTTTTTTTTTTTTTTTCCTCCTCTCATTTTCTGTGTTTCTCTTCCTTGTCTCCAGTTTTACTACCTGGTCCTTCGCCAGATGTGTGCCTGTTAGCAGTGTTGTTGTTCAAGAACATCTTGTCCATGCCTTTGAGAGCTTCAGTCAGGTAGTTTTGGAGGGCCGTGAGGGCGGCGCAGATAGCGGGAGCCCCAAAGCCGTGAGTGATGAGGCTGAAGTGAGTCAAGCAGCTCTGAATGCCTGGTTCCAAAATAGGGGTGGGTCGGCTGTTTCCAATGGGTGTCCTGTCCTGGGCCAAGAGATCTGTAAATTCTTTACAAAGTTGCCTGAATAGAAGAGAGAAAGGCAAAGAAAGAGGGGGAAAAAAAAAAGGAGAGAAAGGGGGAGAAAAGCAGTTGTTAGACTCATCTCACACTTAACACAGTTCTCTGAGACAGCCAAGGTGGAAGGAAGGAGCATGTTCAACCGAAAGCTGATCCCAGACCATAGGATGGAATATTTTTGCCCTTTAGGATTTCCATAGAACCCGTGATTCTGTAATTGGGGTGGTGAGGCACTGGCACCAGGTTGTCCAGACTAGTGGTAGATGCCCCGTCCCTGCAGACAGCCAAGGTCAGGCTGGGTGGGTTCCGAGCACTGATGGAGCTGTGGGTGTCCCTTCTCACTGCAGGGAAACGGGACAGATAGCCTTTAAGGATCCCTTCCAAGTCAAACCACCCTATGATTCTCCCACCAGTGCTTGAGGATCATCCTAGGATGATCATAGAATCATAGAATTGCTCAGATTGGAATAAACCTTCAAGATCATCAAGTCCAACTGATGCTTAGGATCCACAACTAGAGTGATGCTCTTCAGGAAACAGGTTTCCGCAATTGCAGGACTTCAAGGAGGTCCAGAGATACAAATCTATCCTGCAATCACAGGGTCATCCCCAAAGCACTGTAAAAACCCAGCTCTGCTTTGTGCACCCAAAAATGACCAAGCTGAGTGGGAGATACACCATGTGTCTGCCAACCATCCATCTGGATCATGGCCTAAAGCAACTCTCAACAGTGTCGTTTCTGGAAAAAAAAAAAAATTGCATCCATGTGCTGCACAGGGATGGGTGAAAGGACTAAATGGAATCTTTCTTGAGACAGTTTGGGCTACGCAACCTTGTTGAGAAAGTTCTGGATTCTAGAGCTCCATTCTGGCTTATCAAAACCAGCACTTCCTATTTTGTTCTGGGGAGAGAAAGACCAATTGAAGCATTAGAGGAAATGTGTGGCCCTTGTTTATTTTTTTTCCACACTTTTGAAAATCAGATTTGATTATTATTATTATTATTTATACGATTTCCCCTTTCTTTCTTCCTTTTTCATTGTTCTAGTCCAGAAGGCCTTCATGTCAACAGGTGCCAAGGCTACGTAGGAACATGGGAGCTGGGGGGGGGGTTCCCAATGGGATAATTTCTTTGAGCAGATGCCTACCCAGGGACTGAGGGGGAAAAAAAAATGTATGGGGGAAAAAAAAGACATAAAAGGAAAAAAAAATGAAAAAGAAACACTTAAAAAAGGCGTTCAGCTCTCATCGCCTGAAATTCCCAGTGGGTTGAAGGTTTCAGAGGGTGGAGAAAGATAAAGGTCTACTTCTATGTGTATTATCCATTAAGAAAGTGCAAGAGAGGAAACTTTGAATTTGGAGAACAAACAGTAATGAGTGCAACATTTTACATCTTCAAAGAGCAAAGCAGGGTCTGTGAGCAATTAAAGTTCTGGGACATTAATATCTTCTGACCCTGCGGAAAAGGGCAATCAAATTCCAATCACGTCTAAAAAACATCTGGACAAATTTGAGCAAATGATTTTTCAACCCTCCATATATTTCTTTAAATTACGCTGTCATCGGAGGCAAGCCATGTCCCAGAGCATGAAATCAATGAGAGCTCCTTTGGCTGCTCTCTTACCTTATTTTGCCTATTCTTCACTCCAACAAAAGAGACAGAAACACAGCACAACCACTGAGGACCCGAGCACTCAGTTAGGAGATGCAGCTGGGTGCAAGTCATCCCATACAACAAAGCCACCAACAGAGTCCCCATAGAGAAAAATGGGTTGAGGGAACAAAGTGAGGGTGATTATCAGTTCACAATGTTTTTGTTGGATTTTCTAACCTCGCTTACTTCTTTTTTCCCCTTTTTTTTTTTTTTTTTCTTAATTAAACCATCTGGATTAGACACTGCAATTTAGTAGCTGGCAGACAGGTGTGCATGAGCAGCAGGAGAAACAGACCGACCATGGTATAGAAGCAACCCACTGTTTGGTTGTTGCCTTCTCATGGTGGTTTCTGGATTGAGGATGGCTCAGAAAAGACACACGGTAGCCAAGGATCAGGCCCATGCATCTTCCATAGGGCCAACACTATCCCACTGCAGGGTGACACACGGACAATAAGAGCTACTCTACCTACAGGATGATGTGGGCACCCCTTCCTCCACCCCGAGGCTACCATAATTTTGAGACTGGAGAATCTGTCTGCCTTTAAATTGACCTCAGACATAGGGTTTAAGGTAATGGAAGATTTTTCCAGGGGAGGGATGGATAAGTTGGCACTCACTTTGTAGCAAGCAGCATGTTTTTCCTGGAGTGGAGGTCGCTGGGGTCTGTGTGCTGTCTGTTCAGGTATTCAGAAACAGCCTTGGCTGGGAACTCCGTTTCGCAGATGTACCCAAAATCCCGGGCTAAATGAACGGCCTCACCTGGATGGAAGGAGAGGGGCATGAACACATCTGGGCTGGGGCCGAGCTGCCAAGCTTTCATGTAATGCTTTGCTGCTGCACACTGCTTCTCTGGGAGAGAGCAGCTCTTAGAGTCACATTTAGAAACCCAACTGCACCTTAAGGCCAAGCTGCAGACATCAGTTTTCTCTCTATAAATCTTACGTCAGGGGAAATAGGAAGTTTTGGGTACAGGTTTACAGCTGTCTTTGCAGCAATGCACTGATGATGGCTTATAGACACACATACAACTGATCCCATGGAATTGTGGCAAAGAACACATACACACACACACACACCAATTTAAGTGAACTGGGCCAAAAAAGGGGGAAACTAAGCAAGTCCCAAAGGACAGAAAGGCTCACCCCTCCCTTAGAGCACTAAAAATATTCCTATTTCAATACAGCGGAAGAACATTCTCCAACATTTTATGGATGTGGACACAATGCTAATTTTGATGTCAGTTTTGTATAGGACTACACGGCACTTATATCATTACCACAGTTGTTGCCACATCAGCAAAATGATGGAAATAAGTCTATTATGTTTGATGGAATTCATTACTCTGCTCTCTTAACTGATCACCAGCAATGGTGATCAGTTGACCTATGGAAGGGTACAAACTGATGGCAATTTTTTCTGTGAACAGCACTAATTCTTCTAATTATAACTGTCATTTCCACTGCCTGCTTTCTAATTCCTTGCCTACAGAGAGGTTCATGTCATCAGACCCTTTCTGATGCACTCTGTGCTACGAGAAGAAGACAGGAGTTGAAGAAAAGTGGAAAAGAAGAGGGGGAAAAGTAATTAAAAAGAAATAGCACCCTCAGACTCTAAGGGGATTCCACCAGATTACAGCTCAACTCCTCCAGAATAAAGCATTAAACCCTTTAAAGCACTGCCTGAGGGAGCAGAGGGGAAGATTTCCAACACGCAAAACAGATAGGTCTAATAACTCCAGGACCACGTTATTTTTAACGACCATGATTTGCCTTCCAACGTCATCTCTGCTTCCCAGAGCTTCTCCCTAATCAACAAAGCTCTTAATTGAACGTGAGGGCAGCCGAGGTGTCCCCACAATGGCCACTCCATCCCCCTGGCAACACTCAATTGATGCCACCTGGAGCACAGTGATGGCATCACCATATCCTGGCTGCTCTCACCAAGCAAACTTCACCCTATATGAGGTGCAGCTTATTCCAAAAGGAGGAAGCTCTCACGAGGGAAACTGCTGTTGATTTGTAAGGAAACCAGGAGAGGGATGCATGCACCTTCCTACTCTCTTAACATGGGGTTTAACATCACTGCGTATCCTAGTGGGCTTCAAGCCAGCTTTGCTTTTGCTGTGAGTACAGTTTCTTGCACACAGCTGCATTCACACCTATGGTTCAGCACCCTGAGTGCATCCATAATGCTGCACATCCCCTATAGCGGGCAGCCCTGTGCCTATATCTGAGTCCTGCACTACCACGAGGAGCTGCTATCAGCCCCAGCTCTGCATGCGGTGAGGGCTTATCGCTGCCACAACTCCACCAAGAAGAGCTGGAAAGTTGATATCTAGCACAAATGTTTATGCATGCTCCTATGTGGAGGAGATAAGTGGATTATTCCTACGCCTCTTGGTGTGTATGTGTAACGTAGATACATATAATTCATAATTGCATCTGTACTATTCTGGTTATGGGTTTTTTTTTTTTTTGGAGAAGGTCCAACTTCCCTTAGCATAAACTTACACATATCCTAAACATACTAGGGGCCTTAAGAATGGCTCTTTCATGCAGTAACAATAAATCAAAGAAAACACACCAAACACCAAAACGACATTGGCTGAATGAAGACTTGGATTCTATGATCCTTATAGTCCCTTCCAACTCGGGGTATCCTATGACTTGAGATGAAACTTCAGCCCTCCCTTCCTTCTTTGCTTCCTTGGGAATAGCTTGAGATCCTCATTCTGTTTCACCCACCATTGGGCAAACTATGCTCCCAAAGTCTTCGATTGATTATTTCTTTCACCAAATATACTTTTTGCCCTCATTGAGGGTCAACAAATAATGAGCATCAACCACAAATAAACTCGGGATGAGCGAATTAACAGGAGGATGGAGCAGACGTGGAATCAGGGAGCACAGCCCGGTAATTGATAGCAATGAGGAACAGGACTGCCCAGCTCAAGCGCACACACACAAACACAAACACACCCCATTCTTGCCACCAAACCCAACCAATTCCCCCTCCGGGAATCCTTGACAAGTGTTCCTCCAACCCGCCCTGCGTTTCACCTCCTCGAGGCTCTCCCACCTGATCCCCCAAAGCCTTTTGTGGTTCGCAAAATATCAGCCCCGAGGTAGGAGGGGGTGTGAAGGGAGCTGCGAGCCTCGCTTACCTTCCACCAGGGAGGTGAGTAAAGTGACATTTGCAGCCTTACGCCTGCCGGCTGGTAAATTCAAACCGATTTTTTCTAGCCTTTCTCGCAAAGATCTCCCCCCGTTTTTCGATTTGGCTCTAGAATTGCAAAGAAATCGAGATCGTCGTTAAGCCCCGCGGTGCTCCTGGAAGAAACGTTCAGTCTGTGCAGTCAGTGGAGCCCTGAAAAGGTTTTCAGCCGCTGTTCGGCACTCTGGGTGTGCTGATTTGTGCCCGAATTTGCTGCTATTTGCTTAGTTTCTCCCAGGGGTGGGAGTGGGGATGAGCCCACTTTTCTCCCGTTTTTACCCAGGGAAATCAAATAATGCCAGTTAGCAATAATTACCGCAGAGGATTCCGAGCTAGAGAACAAATGAGTTCCTACTGTATGGCATTCTGTTAGGATGGAGCGTGGGGATGGACAGAAAGATAGAAGAGAAATAAATAATCGTTTAGTCCGGATATAATAAGAAGAAAAGGTGAGGAAAAAAAATGGTCGAAGGGAGAACTGCGGGCAGAAAGAATGGGAGGAAAGCACTTAGGAAACTTCAGGATCGGTTTCGTGCCCGTGTGAACGCGTGCGGAGAGGCAACGCTCACCCGGAGGCACCACGTTCTACACGGGGATTTGGGTGCCTGAAGGAAGACGTGAATATTTGTCGGAGGTTACTGATAAGGACACTGAAAGGATAAACGAGCCATAGGTGGGAAATACGGAGCTATTGTTCACACACCCCTAGGTATGTACAGCTCGAGGGGTGGAATCCTTCCACCTGTGATATCAGTGAGAATTTTGGCACTGAGGTCACAGACCATCCCAAGCACTTCTTGGTTCTTATTTAACAGACGTTTAAGACTTGGCTTACAAAAGGGAAGCCGGTAATGATAGAGAAAGCAGGCTGACTTCTCAATATTTGCTCTCAGAGTAAATGGGGGTACACGGCAGAACAGCTTCCTATATTTCATCTGCCCTGAACCAAAGCTTGTCTAAAATTCAGATTCAAGATAGGAACTGAAGTCAGCAGTAGCCAATGATTACGGCTTGGGCCATCTCCGGTAATCCACTGAAGCTCTATAATGAGGTTTCTTTACCTTGATAATTACATTTTCTACACTGTATCTCTCCGATGTCCTCCTGCTCCATTTGCAGGAGGGTTGCCGTCTCTAAGCAAACCTCTGCTCCTCTCCCTGGCACAGAACGCAGCTGAGCATTGATTACAGACATTCATGTGGAACAGCAGCTATTTTAGGAGCTCCTCATTCCCACGTGTGTTATAGGGCGACTGCACGGAGCGGAGCATCATAACCTTCTCCAAACACAGAGCACCTGACCTCAACGCAATTAATAATAATATAAATAATAATAATTGCGTTGTAATAATTGCAAGGAAACAAACAAACACGGTGTGTTTGCCTACTAGTTGGCAACATCCTTCCTACTCTAAGACTTTAAGCTTCTATGCGTAAATTGAACTTTGTTCTGGGCCAATACATCAGTGAACTGCCTGAAGTCGCTCTTTATTTCCCAGTCTGCCATATTTGGGAGAACCTCCATCGTAACGTCTTTTCTGTTCTCATCGATGTATGTTCTTAGCTCAGCTTTCCTACGGGAAAATCACGCTGACAATTAAGTCTTTCATAAGATAAAGCCCCTTCTCCGCGTTCATCCAATTGATGACTTCGGAGCTTGAATTCTTGTTAGTGAATGAGCAATCTCTCACTCTCCGGATTGGTACCCAGGCCTGGAGGTCGCTCCCTACTTCTCACTTAACAAGGACCAATAATGTTAGCTACTTAGAGGTATTCAGCAGCACTGACCGGGCCATTAGGAGGTGATTTGCACCAATAGCGAAGGATTCCGATAGCAACCCTCTCCGGATGGAAATCCAAATTACTGCTTTTCCGAACTACTGGCTGTCTGTATTTCGAGAAACTCTGATTAAAGCTTCATCGGGCTTGATTTGGCTGCACTCCCCATACATTCATCTCAGAGCCCGAATACAGAATATTTCCATCTTACCCTCACTGTAACACAGCCTCCCCAACCCCTTACCTTCTCAGCACTCCTCCTAGCAGGGATGCGTTCAGACACTCGGGGGGAGAAAGGCGCCTTTGAACTTCTCCCACTGTTACTTTGTACTTGGAAGTTGAACTAAGCAATGACAAACGGCCGGGGACAGAGCAGAACACCTCTCCGGTGTTGACCGAAATTCCACCCAGGAAGCCATCTTTATTCATCATCAAAGAAGTAACGGATTTTGGAGGGACAGGAACTGGAGAAAGAAAAAGGAAGGGAGGGGAAGAAACCGTCATGGCACGAACAGCATAGCGTAAACACACTCTAACCATGCACAGCAGAGCAAAATGAAAGGGAACTTCTCAGCTCTACAGCAAACTAAAAGGGGCCGTGTCCCCCCCTGCCCCCTCGAGTGAGGATGACAAGGAATGTGATAATAACAAGGATGGTGATGCAGCACAGCCTCTGTGAAGGCTTGAGAAATACAACACGTCTGAAGTATTTGGCAACTTTGGGTTCTTCGTCCCTCGCTCCCCCTCCCGTTCCCCCTTCCCCTTGTTTTTGTACAGCTGACAGCACCTGACGTTTCGCAGGGAAAGAAAAAGAATTACTTCTTTCGCTCATGTTTCCCATTACTTCTAAGCTGAGCCAGGAATAAATTCACTACACTGAGGGAGTTGCTGCCTTAAATAAGCGTGGAGGCTGGAGGATACAGCAACTAGAAGACAGCTCTGTTATTGCTTTGTGTTTTTATTAAGTCTGGTTTATGAAACAAAGTGAGCCTTTTCCTTCTGATAAAAAAAAAAAAATAGGAAAAGATGAACAGCAGAAAAATAAAATCTCGGTTTTAATCATGACGTGCACCAACTGAACCGTGTTGTGCTGTCCTCAAAGCAGTGGGAACTCATCTGTTGATGCAAAAAGGAAGCCTGGATACGCTGTTATGTATAATCATAGAATAGGTTGGGAAAGGGACCTCAAGGATCATCAAATTCCAGCCCCCCCCCTAAAGGGAGGGCTGCAAGTTATGGAAAGAAAGTTATGAAAGATTAAAATAATAATAACAATAAAGAAAAAAGGCGAACCGAAACAAAATAGAAACTTTTTATCCTACCCACAACCAACGTACCCCATCGCTCTGGGAAACGAGGGCTGCATTAAGAGTAAAGGAGGAGATCAGATCGAGCAAAATCCCGTAATAGCATCCAGAGCCACTCAGAAACAAACAACAACAAGAAATGAGCCGCGGGTTTTTGTTTGCCAATGAACTTCAACCGCTCGCTCGTAATTGCGCGCAACCGCTCTGATTTACGGCAGGTGCGCTGATCAATCAACCAATCGCTTTAATTTATTGGGAGCCTCGCCTTGACTTTTCCCAGTTGTTTCATTTCGGCGGGTAATTGATAACAAACCGTACTTAAGGTATGTTTTATGCAGGAGTTAATAAGAGCTGACAGCTGCTACCGCTGCTTCCTCGCGGATCGCCGCAACGCGATGTGCGGAGAGAACTCCGCGACCGCGGAGGAGAACGCTTAATTGATTACAGACCCTCACGCAGCGCTGATACCGCTTCGCCCTCTTGCCGTTTTCCCACTCAAATCAATTGCAAAACCCATCCGGCAAATCAGAGGGCTCTGATTTGTGCGCATATGCCGGCTATTAGCCATAAAAACCCTGTTTATTTGCGACATATCTGGAGAATCAAACCATTAGGGTTGAGGGGATATTTAAGTCGTCTGGAGTTGCTAAACAATAAGATCGGGTATCCTAATATATTACCAAGTGCTAACTACTGGGCAATTGCCAATTTTATAACCTCAGCGTATGGAATAGACACAACCGTATTGCACTGTTTTTATTACAGATCATTTCCTACCGCCAGACCAGACCCCCACAATAAAAACCCTATAACAGCTAAAAACCAAAAGGCATGTCGATTTCAGATATACGTATTGCTTCTATATAGTCCCCAGTATAAACAAATTATTCGGAGTGGCTTTACTTCTGGGAATCGGAAGGTGAAACGGATTCCTATTTATTATTTTTAGTTGGGCACATTATGCAGCTCGTAAAGGCGTTTGCAAAGAGTCGGAGATCGGCACAGTAACAGTTACAAAAGACTTAGAGGCCTTTCCTTGCTCTTAATGGGATTTTTGCCGTTGATTCTATAGGAAGAGACTCTTCGAGGTAGTAAAAATAAGAGAGACTCTGCCTTGCCCCCCGTTATACGTAGATATATCGTATATGCCACATACAGTGCTGCGCAGCATCATGCGAGCGCACATTCAAGACAAAGTGAAAAAAAGAGTTGGATTCACGCATTGCCACACCAAATGGATTTTCATCACTGGTTTTGGTTGGTTGGTTGTCGGTTTGTTTTGTTTTGTTGGGTTTTTTTCTCTCCTCCTCCGGACAAACGCACGGACTCAGTGGTTCGGGCGAAACTCTCTCTACCGTGGCTATATTTAGTGACCGCTTTATCAGGTCACTGTCCAGTGAACTGAGAAATTAAACAAGAGGTAACAATTCCGCGGCCATCTGATCTTAGTCTAAACTCACTAAAGAGAGATTTACCCCTGCGACGCTTTCAGGAGACCCCACACCGCCCGTCGTGCCTCTTCTCACATTTGTTAACCTCTGAAATATGGGTTTTCACGTGCTCGGGGGGTTGGTTTTCCCCTGCGAATTGCTGTCGTTGAGCAGACAGGCTCCTTCCCTGCTCTGCTGAGCCCCTTTTCTCCCAGCGGTGCCACCCCCTCCCCTAAAAGTACTGCACGAACACAGTTGGGAGCCTTAATAACACCCATCCCATTCTACAGGCTTTTCCAGGCGGTTTAAGCATATCTATCGCGATTTCATAGCTTCAGAGAGATGTGTTCTATCTACGCTCTGTATCTTCTGTAAATTACCTAATGCTCCCTCCAAAAAAAAAAAAAGCCAAAAAAAAAAAAGCCCGTGTTTGCCATGGAGTGAATTATCGCTATCTACATCGTATCTGTATGTTTATGGTGGGCTGTCGCTTTCCGGCTATAGGCAGAGAGAACAGAACGGCCACACGCGTCCGCGTGTGCACTGCGCGTGTCACAGCCCCGCGGGCGTGCAAACCGATGCGCACCGTAACGGGAGGTGATTTTCAGCCTCCCCGTAGCTTAGGGATTGCTTTAGCTGCTGACAGAACAACACACAACTCCTGCACAGCGTCCCCACCACCTCCGCTTCAACTTTTTTTTTTTTTCTTTTTTCCCCCACCGATTTACTTCTTCTTGTCCCTGCGCTTCAAAACTCTGTTTAATTACGGGCGTGACAGCTCTCATATCATTCCTCCTTCTCAAATCATCTCTTTTTCTCCCCCATTCCCCCATTTCTTCCCTCCTTCCCTCCCTCTTCCACTCCCCGTGATGACTTCCACCCTCTTTGTCATCCCTTCCCCTTCCATTTCTCTTCAGCTTATCAATAAAGCGGGAGAGCAACAGTAGCCGCTTGATTTGTTAGTAATTATAAGCATACTGTTCCTGCAAACGGGATCTCTAGATGAGCGAGATCGCTTTAAAACGACAGCAGGAAATGGTGGGGAAATGGAGCATGGCGAAACTCAGCGTGAAGCTTTCAGTTCTTTACATGTTTACAATTTTCTGTGCATACATTAAGTCTTAGGGGTTGGTTCTTTTTTTTTTTCCCCTTTTCTTTTTAATTATTATTTTTCTTTTTTTTTTCTTGTTTTCTTTCTTTTTTTTTTTTTTTTCTGTGGTGGTGGTGATTCCCTGTGGGGTTGCGCTCCGCACACGCGCGAAATTGCGCACGCAGGAAAGCAAATGGCACTAAAAGGGCATTTTAACACCACTCAAACTGAAGGGATGAATAGAATCGTGGCCTGAAAATAGCTGAAAAAAGAAAGAAGCAGCAGCAGGAGCTCTGAGCTGCGGACATCGCCGCAGTAACGCTGCAAAATAATATGATCGCCGATGCATCAATCAATCAATTAATGGAACAATCCGTGGCGATTAGTATGTCTTATTAGCTAACAGCGCGGGCGAACTAATTACTGAAGAGGTGTCAAACAGCCCTCAGCCCCTTTAATCTGCCTACTGGGTGTGAAGTGAGCAAGAAGTCCATCAGAGCAGCAAGGCTGTGTTGTTCCTGGTGATTGGATCCGCCTTTGTCGCCAAATAGAGGGACAATGACTGCCCGCTGCCACTAAAGACCCAATCATTACTTAAGACTTAATGAGCAAATACAGAAAGTGTAAATGTCCCCTTCCCTCTAATTCCTATCTTCTCTTCATCTCTCCCCTTCCCCCTGGAAGCCAGAGTACGTTTCAAAGTGAAACATATTCCCTCCGAAATTGCTGTGCGTTAAATTAAAAAGGAATCTCAAGGCTCAATGGGCAGCCCGAGAAAAGGCGCACATTCCCAGATCTATCATCTGGAAGGCTGTGTCCGGAGTGGTTTTCAGTTAATCATTTATTGCTGGATACTTCAAGAGGGGGGTGGGGAAGAGCTCTACTCGACTCAGAGTTATTTGGGAAAAAAACAAAGTTAAGAGAGCTCCTTTCATATGTTTCCTTAAAACAATGTCATTAAGAGAGCGTGTCTGCAAAGAGACATCGAAAGAAGTGTTTGGGTTAAAACGGCCCTTCGTGCTAAATCTGATGTGAAGGTAAGGCCAGGCTTCAGAAATAGCTGAAAGTAAATAAATACATCGGGATAACGTTAAGGTCACTGACTGTGCCCCAGAGTCACTAAAAATTAACTTCTCGCTCGGGCCACGCAGGGATTTGAGAGACGACGACTGATTTTGCCATAGAGAGTGCCAAGCGAATTTCAGATGAGCAGATGACGAAGGGAGCCGACACTTGGAAAACCTGCCCTTCATTGCAATGGGAACGGAGGGAAAGGCCTCCAAACCTGCAGCCAGTAAGTTCTTCGGGCTGAGTTAAATCTGGTATTCATTCCCTTGATGATTATTATCATCTCGATGATTTATCCGGCTCCCTCCTTCCCACTCCCACCACCCAAATCTTAATGGGACTAGGAGTGAACGATGATTTTTTAATGTCTTGTTGGAGTTTTAGACTGTTAATGTACCGAATCCTTCTCATTATTAGTTTATTGATTGTTCATTGACCAGCCCCCTTCAAATCGTATTAACCACCCTCTGCCAGCTTAGATTAGGAGAGTTTTAAAAGCACCTTTCATTATTTCACCACCACCGCAGCAGAGCTCAGGCTTGGGAGCTTAATGCTCGCTCTAATGGGGCAGCTAAGAGATGAGGGGCCACGGTCCCTGCCTATTGCATTAATAGCTCAAAGGGGGCTAATACAGAAAATTAGCCTTAAACGAGCTCTGGAGATCTCCAAATGAAAGAGCCATTTATCACGCTGGCTACCTTCACTCCACTCGTTTGCTCTCTCTACTGGGAACAACTCATTTCCTCTTAACTAAATTACTTCAGAAATGTCAAGTAAGCTCAGATAGCAAACATAACAAGAGGCAGCGTATGCGGGATCCGTTGTGCGGGATCGATCCGTGAGATAAATCGATAGCTGCCTATGAATCCCTTTATGATTTCCTTAATATTTTTGGCAATCCCTTTGCATTGATGGATAGATAATTCCCTCTGCAGGCCTCAAAGTCCATAAAGAAGGAGGCACCCGCAGCCTGGATGATATAATTAACTTGATACTTCGAGTTCACGTTGTATTCTTCTCACCACAGTTTAATTAAAGCATTTTAGGAGCTAAGCAACGTTTGGGCGAAATAGATCTCTTCTGCTGCTTATTTAGCAAATACTTATCACGGGGAGTGCTCGAACCCATAACTCTTTGCATCCTCCTCCTGCAATAACCACTCGCAGTTTAAATAACTTATTGTTGTTCCAAAGTACTCTCATAGCATAGGGAACCAAGTGAAATTCAGATGGAAGCCTCTCTGTGCCACTCCTCTGGCCCCAATCCAGGCTCTGGGCAACCTGGTCTGATGGTTGGTGACCTTGCACATAGCAGGGGGTTGGAACTAGATGATCACTGTGGTCCTTTCCAACCCTGGCCATTCTATGGTTCTATGATTCCATTCCCCACTGCCTGCCCCAAACGTTACCCCTCACTTCGCCGCACCCAGAAAAGAAATCAAACCCACACCGTCCCCTTCTGCTAGCGAGATTCATTAGGAAGAAAACGCAACTACAGTGACTTTAGCACAGCAGGAGATGGATCTCGGTGCCTTTGAGTAATCTGATTTCCAAAGCGCACGTGTAACGCCGGTAGAACTCAGCATATCTCTCCCTATGGCACCGCGCAGTGCCCATCTTCGCTGCTCGAGGCGTAGCGGGCACATCTCATCCTGTCCTTAATCCGTGCCGGATCTGAATGGCAGAGAGGTATGGAGGTGGAGGGGGGAGGAGGCTGGGAGAGGTTTAAAGGCTGAGAAACGAAAATGCGAGCGCGGCCCAGCGTTATAAAGGAGGCTCCCGACCGCAAATCAACCACCAATTAATCAAACAACGCCCACGAGGAAACATCGCGCATGAGGCAGCAAAGCGGGGTGGGGAGGGGAGGATGGAGAATAGAGAGGGGAGAAGGGGAAAAAACACCACCAGGAGCCTTCAGGTTGCAGATCCTGACCGCAACACCCACTCAAAGCACAAAAGCCGAACTAACGCCTTTCCCTTTAAGCAAGGAATTCTTTGTCTCTCCCTCTTCGTACGTTTCCAACCGGTGGCCGCAAACGATCTTGGAGTTTTCATCCCTCAACCAACTGCAAGCTCGTGGTAAAGGCGCACGAGGGTTGGAACAAGAAACAATAAACACAGGGAAGGACCTCACGCTGCCCTGAACGCGTTTTAAATAAACACTCCGATTATTTTGCTTTGGGTTCTACGAGATCCTAAGTGTTTGTAGCTGCACTGAGGGTTTGACAAATCATAAAGGTCCCGGAGATAAGCTCTGCTGATCGTAAGCATAAGGGCCAGCATTTCTAAGCCTCATCTCTGGTACTTAAAATTGATTCTAGAAATAGAAACTCCTTAGATAATTAAAGATAGCTTCCCCTACATTTGCAGTGTGGGATCTGTTTAATGTCTATCAGCATAACACAACACTAATCGCCAAGCATCTTCCAGTGACTGTCAGAGAAATGTAAAAAAAATTAAGCAGCTGCATTACGCCCGAAATGAGTTATTGTAATTACATTTAATTAGTTTAATTAGTTAATTATTTTGCTTACAGCTGTACGAGAGACTGCAAACATTTGTTAATATCACATTCCCTTTAACAGTATGGGGTGATTCTGCAGTTACACTAAATCATGTGCGCATATGTAGGGAGATTTAAAAAATAGGCAGGGGGAAGGGGAGGTGGGGGAAAGGAAGGCAGAGCTGCTTTCCATAGCATTGCTTTCTCTCCCTTCCACCTCCCACCCGCCTGGGAGATGCATTGAAGCCCAAAAGTGGAGTCAGCACCACCCACCCCCCTTTACTACCAGGTATAAAGCCACGAGATCCCCCATGGAGGGGCTGTTGGGGATGGGGGACAGCATGGGGTGCCCCATTTGAGGGCGTTGGTGTGATTGGAGGAAGGGGGGGCGGTCAACTTTTCCCTTCCTTTCCCTTCCCTCTATCTAAAGACCCAATCAGCGATTCATCTTGCTGCCTCCTCCTTCCCGGATCCATTCATTGTCCCGAAGTAAAATATATATACATATATACACAGACATATATATATCACGAGGGTATTGCCACACTGTAAAAGTTTGTCTAGCTCGTTGGAATAATCCATACCTTTTTTAATGACAGACTGGTCCAATAAGTTCATACCGCTGTTATTGGCATCTTCAACTGACTGTGGATATAAAAACATCACTATTCAAATTGACTGGATATTAAAGAACCGCGTACATAAATCATGTCATTCCAAACTGGGGTTGCTGTTATTTCCATTTATATTAATTCACTAGGGGAGGAGGGAGTTTTAGTCTTATTATTGTTATTATTATTCCCCCCAAACGACAAGGAAATGAAATTCTTACAAATTATACAGTCGCCTAATAAAAAAAAAAAAAAAAAAAAGAAGAAGAAGAAGAAGAAGAAAAGAAAAAGAAAAAAAAAAGGGAGGTGTGAAGCATATGGGGCGCAATATTGGTTTTGTTATCTTATAAAACCGTGGCTATCTCGTGGACTTCTTTGCATTCGAGAAAGCTTTACATTTCTCCCTTTGAAAATCCGGCAATTTAGCAACATCTGCAAGATCTATTGCATGGCATAAATGAACACGATTAAGGACAACTTCAATTCTCCCTCCCCTTTCCTCCCCTCCCCCCTCCTCCTCCTCCACCTCTCCTATTTTTGTGTTGTTTGTTTGCTTAACCCCGCTACATCTTAATAATTCAAGGGCCATTTACTTCTTACATAGAATAGTTTGCGTTATGGACTTTTAATTAAAGCCTGGGCGATTTGAAGCGCAGCGCAACGCCCACTTCGTGTAGGGTGTAAAGAGAAAGAGATTTACAGCCCCCGGGGTCCCCAATTTGTGGGCCGGGAGGGCCGAGCGGGGTTATGCCTTATCAAAAGTATCAGCTATGAAATTGATTGCCTAGAAAAAAGTCCCCCGATCCTCCTTCAAAAAATCTCTTTTTTAACGATTTGTTGTTCTTTTGGGTCCCTGTCGGAGCAGAGCACACCTGTTATTACGGCACTCGTGAAGGGGAAAGAACAAAGAGGGGCAGAGCCCGCATTGGGTCGCTTATCTCAGCTTGATGGTATGGTCCACGACTGCAAACCAACGCAAATCAGAGCTCGGTGCAGCGAAACCACCTCTATAAGAGCAGCGGAGCTGCCACAGGTTCCGCTTTAGGGTGAACTCCGGGTTTCAGGTGGAAGGAGGACCTGTTTGTGCTTTCTATACTTCTTGGCTTTTTCTTTTTTTTTTTTTCTCCTTCATTTGTTTATTTGTTGTTTTTATTTCTACCCAGAATTCGGCTTTTTTTTTTTTTTTTCTTTTCCTTTTTATTTTTTCCTCTCTCTCTCTTTTTTATTTCTCCTTTTAATTTTCAAGGTATGCCGTATAAAGAACTTCTCCCACACACACAGATATATTTTTTTTCCACAAGGAAAACATCTTTTCAACAAATCAGCGATTCCCTTCCCTATTATTTCGACTGTATATCGGCTTCTCCGAGAAGCTGAGCTCAACCAACCCCAGTCCTTATCTCCAACTTTCCAACCCTGATACGATTTAGAAGAAAATCACATCTGCCCCATCCAAAAAAAAAAAAAAAAAAAAAAAGGTGATGGAGCAATTTTTCCCGTGGACTTTTCCACTTCTATCGTTGCACTGCGCACTCCAAAGCGCACTCACAAGGCTGTTCCTTACACTGTTCGTGGCTCAGCCTCTCCCCTAATCAATAGCCCGCATACCTAAAGGGCACAACACACAATTACAAACTCTTCCCTCCTTTCCCTCAGCAGCTGCCGAGGAGGGAATGATGAGCAAATCCTGCAGCCTGCCGGAATGCTGCGCCTTGCAACTCGATGGCGCAGAGCTGGAGGTAAATACGAAACGCCATCTTCTCTCCCTATTCTTCCCCCCCTCTCCTCTCTTTTCTCACCTTATCTCTGGGGTATAGGTCTGTGCACACGCTTTATGTGCGTGCGTGCACTCCGCTCGCTCCATCAGCAACGTGGGTTAGTTGTTGTAGTTAATGAGAAGACTCCTGTCTGATTTTCTATCTAATTACGCCCTCCTGCTGGGTTTTTGTACAGGATATTCGCTCAGCATGCTGGCAGTTAATAGTCACAGAGAGGATCGTAAAGATTTAATTAGGACTGCATGCGGAAACGTGGAAAAACAACTCAGACTTTTAATTACTAGACTTCTTTAGTTAAAAGTGATACCAGGGGTTACTTTATAAGAGAGTTGGGTGTTTTTTGGTGTGCAACTTAACTTTCCGTGCCTCTTGCTGGCACACAGGAGGGGAGGGTCGTGAGCATGGGGAGGAGAAGTGGAGATTTGTGGTTGAGGGGTGTGTGTGTGTGTGGGGGGGGGTTCCTGATATACTTATAACTGAGAGAGGAAGACTGCCCTCCCTCCCCTCTGCCAATAATCCCATAGCATGGAGCTTCCTTTATACCACATGTATAGATATATGTACACATATATATGTAGACAAGCCATATGAATACACACATCATATATATACACATACCACATATATATATGCCATATAAATATACCGTACATATACATGCCACATAGATACATAAATACCCCCTATAAATATATATATACACATGTCGCATGTATATACACCTACACCTTATCCAACAGCAAGGGAAATATCTGAGAGGAAATCCTAAAGAATCCTGTTTTCCTTTAAGCCTGGATTTTCCCCTCTGCACAACGTTGCCCTGTGTCCTTCTAGTAGAGCCCTGTTTTGGTCTATATGGTGAAAAGAAATAAGAATCATCTGGAGTTGCAATGGTATTTTCCAGCATTCGCTGTGAAATAATGCAAATTTGTTTTCCAAAAGTAGGTCTTGGCTCTCCCCTCCCTTCGGCCGTCAGTGGCAGATTGAGAATTCCTCTCGAAAGGGGCAGCAATAGCAATACAATACGTCCTGTTTACAATAACAGAGAGCTATCGTGTTGCAGTCACTTAATTCTAGCCCTGGACAATGGCTTACACATGGCCTGGATTTGGTGTTTATATAATAACCACTGTTTCTCTCTGTCACGCACTCCCCTCCTCTCTCTTTTCTCCCCTTGACAGCCCAACCCTTTCTCATGGCATCTATTTAATCAGAGGCGCGTAAGCTAAAGCACGTCTTCATCTGTCTGACCTTAAAGCAGTTCAACTTTTAGGACTTCATTAAAAAAATAATAATAATAAAAAAAAGGTTTGGGACCATTTCTGGAAACACTTTCTTGGATAATAATGGGAATCCTCATAGCCTGAGCGGAACCTGATCCATATGAAAATTCTCAGTGGAAAATTGCCCGGTTTCATCTGTCATTGGTGGTGTGGGGGGGACAAGAATAGAAAATGCTGAACAGTAGGAGAGGACTGGGCTGTTTTCCCCGCTGCCTGCTCTAACTTGCAGTTGGACACCTCTCCCTTCACGTGTTTCTCCTTGGGATACCCTCTCCCTCTTCCCCTCCTCCTTCAGTTTGCCACCAAACTTTTACGAAGAAGGGACCGCTTCCATTCCCGTGCCTTCAGCATCCCGAGCAAACAGCTCAACCCGCAGCCACAGCTGCCTCTCCCCTTTCCCATCCCTACCCCAGCTGGGGAAGCAGCCCGTGTGCGACAGCAGCAGGCTGAGCTCAGAGCTGCGGGGATGTTTCATTGGGAAAGAGGGGGAAAGCTGCTGATTTGAGCTTTTCAAGGCTTCTCTCTCTCTTCCCCCCCTCCTCTGAAGTTTTTTGCTCTTTCTCTCTTTCTTCCTTCTTTCTTTCCTGTCTTCCTTCCTTTTTCTTCCTCCTTTCCTTCCTGTCTTCCTTCCTTTTTCTTCCCTCTTCCCTTCATCCCTCTTCTTTCTTCCTTCTCTCACTCTCTCTCTCCCCTTCTCCTTCTCTTTCTTTTACCTCTCCATCCCCTCCTTTCCCCCTCTCTTTCCCTCTCTCTCCCGTCTCCTCTCTCTCATAAGAGCCAACAATTACCGGCTTTTATTTGGAGAAGGTATAAATATCAAAGCACAAACAGTACTTAAACGCCTCTCGCTTGCTGAGCGAGAGAAGGGCAGAGGGAGCAGAGCCTCTTGCTGCATTCGTAGAGGAATGCGAGCCGAGACCTGCACACCGCTCCCGTGGGGCTCAAGGCTACCCCCAGGTCTCCCAAACCAGCTTAGAAACCCGCAGAAACCAATGACCCGTCGGTCATGGAGCTCGGAGGCAGAAGCACAACCGGGCATAAAACCTTCTTGTTCCCGAAATCCTCATTCCCAGCCAAGCACGGGAGTTTTTACAGCGCTAAGACAGTCCTCAGGTTGATGCCATATATCCATTCTGCTTCTCTGCCACTGATTCACACGATGTTCACCAGGATCCTTTTCTACTATTCTTCCTCTCTTCTCTTTCCTTTCCCCTTGCCTATAACTTTGCAACCTACGCCTCGTTCCCTCATCCCTTTGGGTATTCCGAGTTTTAATATGCATCTTCTTCATAAGTCTGATAGCTAAACTTAGAAGAAGGAAAGAAAGAAAGAAAGGCAACCCCCCAAATCCTGACTTTCTGAAGCCCGATGCCGGAGGCTGCAGCCCCCCACCCCCTCTTCATCCCCCCTCTCCGGGGGCCGTGCCCTGTTCCAGCAAGGTGCCAACCGCCCCAGCACCGAAGCTGTTAAGGGTCACTTTGTTTTTAGGAAACAACACGTGACGATGAGTTTCGCGTGGGATGGGGGAAGTCTGGGAAATGCTGCGCTTTCGTCCCCGTGAAACTCCTTTGTCATCCAAAGGAGCGAACGGAACTATGTAAAAAATCAGTGTTACTCTAATAGTTGTGCTTAAAAAGGGAAGGATGGGGCCGGTTCGGTCCCGATAACCCCTCTCGATTTGGGTTCTGTTGATATTCACGAATGGAAGGGAAAAAACAACAACAACAAAACGGTAATTTGACAGTTTCATCAAAGTCCCTGGAGTGCAGGAAATTAGCGTGTGTGTGGGGGGGGGGGGGGGGGGGGGGGGGGGGGGGGGGGGGGGGGGGGGGGGGGGGGAGTTGAGATTGCATGGGAAATAGCTGGGATTTGAAAAGCCAGGCTTCAACCCTGCCAGCTTTGGGAGCACGTGGAGAGCGCAGAGCCTGCCTGCCCCAACGCACTCTGCTCTTTGCAGCAGACAGTTGGCAAAGCAGAGCCCGCGCGTGACAGCTATGAAATAAACTCGCCTCGAACACACAAATTAAAAGGGAAAAAACAACAACAACAACAAAAATTGGGGGAGGGAAGGGGCAATATCATTAAAAAAAAAAAAGAAAAAAAAGCGTTTTAACGCACACCAAAACCATTCCCAAGTGGAAATCATCGCCCATAGAGAAAAAAGCGAGTTGCCTTACCTGGACCTCCTCCATTCCCGGGTGCCCGATGCCGTGCAGGGAAAGGCTGTCACCCATGCCGGAGTCAAGGCCATGGTGAGCTGAGTGCAGCAGGACATCTGGTCGCCGTACCGAGTGGTAGTCCCGCCTGGGGTCCAGTCCCGAGAGCTGGGGCAGGGCGGCCCGAGGCTGTGGCAGCAGTGACCCGGTGTCTGATCCAACCTCTTGCCTCTGCCTCTGTCCCCAGGGGTGCTGCTGGGGTTGATGCAAGGGGTTTAGGGAGTAGGGGTCATTGACATGGGAGTAAGGGTCCTGGCTTTGGTGGTAAGGAAGAGGCTGGTAGGGGGGTGGGAAATAAGGCGGCTGGAAATCCGAGGACGGGGTGTGAGAGAGCGGAGGAGCGCTGGAGTAGGGTCCCTGGGAGACGGATCCCAGCTGGGACAGCCTGGAACTGTGGCTGGGCACTCCATCATGCCGGTCCTATAGGCGGGATGAAAGAAAAACGACAACAACAACAACAACAAAAGAGGAGCTTTGTTTTTTCTTTCTTTCTCTCTCTTTTTTTTCTTTTTTCTTTTTGATATAAAGAACGCAAACCCAGCAGTAAATCACCCACCCCGAAATAAAACAAAATAAAGGAATAGTGAAACCGTGGTGAACCAGTGTTGGTTGATGTCCCCCTTCCCCTGCGTCCCAACGCTTCGTACCCAAAACTATGACCAGGAATAATTCGGGAAGGGCAAAGAGGGGGGCAGGGAGAGACGCATCATGTCCTAATTAAACATGTAGGACTGATGCTCCGTACACGATGTGTGACTGCTCTACTAACACGCTTCTCCCTCCACCGGTCCCCGACATAAAACTAAAAGTTTAAAAAAGAGAGAAAGCCCTCAATTCTATCCCCCCCTTCACCACCCACCCCTCGTCCTGCCCGAAGTTTCTCTTTATTTCCTCCGCTGAAGCCCTGCAATTCGACAACTCGACATCAGCGACTCATCTTCATGTGGGAAAAAAAAAAAAAAAAAAAAGACCCGAAGGGGAAAGTTTGCACTTCTCGGAGGAGCCCGAGGTAAAGATTTGTCCGAGAAAAGAGTTGGGAAATAATAATAATAATAATAATAATAATAATAATAATAATAATAATAATAATAATAATAATATCACATGGGCCCTTTGGATAAAAGAGTCTAATAGTAATAATATTAATGATAACCGAACAGAATAAAAATGAAACATCTGTACTGAACGAATCCAACCGCTCTGATTTCTGCAGGAACTCCCAGTGTCTTTTTGTCTCTTTTTTTTTTTTGCAATATTGTATTCCGGAGAAAGGGGTGGGAGGGGATGGGGGGGTGGGGTGGGGGGGTAATTGTAATGTAAAGTCTTTTGGGGTGTGGAGGGGTTGGGGGAGAGAAGTGTGTGAAGGCTTCAGAGGAAAGGTGGGAGCGGACTTTTGTCCCACTCCGTCGCTTGGAAGCTGCGAGGTGAAAGTGCCGAAGAAAAGGAGATATTCCAAGTGCAGCTCGTACCCCCACAAGCGATGGCACACAGGGTTTAAAAAGAAAAAAAGAAAAAAAAGAAAAAAAAAAGGGGGGGGGGGGGGGAAATAAAGTTTTTTCCCCTGCTCTCCCCCCCCCCGCTTAACCCCCCCCAGCGCCCCCCACCCCCAATCTCAAATGGAGAACACACAATGCAAAAAGGGAGAAGCAGCTGCAAAGCCTCCTCCAATTATTGTGCTAAATTACCAAGCCAAAGGCGTTTAAAAGAGAGAGAGGGAGAGAGAGAGAGACAACAGATCGAGAGAGAGAGAGAGAGAACATGCAATTCTAGTACAACATGGATCCAAACTCACCATGGCGGAATAGGTGTGGACTAACATCTGGAAATAAAAAAAGTCTTGTAATAGCTAAAAATCAAAGAATGTGGCGATAACACTAATATTTGGAAGGGAAAAAATAAAAATATATAGATATATATCAAGGAGATCTGCAAAGGGCCGTGTTGGACACAGGAGAACAGCTTGAGGTATTTCGGAGACTATCCATCAAAAAAAAAAAAAAAAAAAAAAAAAAAAAAAAAAAAAAAAGAACCAATGCCCCCAAAACCGAGCCTGGAAACCTCTATCTACATATATGATTCACCCCTCCCTCTCTGTTGGTTTTTTTTTTTTTTCTTTTTTTTTTCCTTTTTTTTTTCTTTTTTTTTTTTTTCTTTTTTTCCCCTTTGAGCTCCCAAACGCAATCCTCTTCAACCCAAGGCTGGGCTCAGACTGCTCCGCTACCCCTTCCTCCCTTTCCTTCCCTACGCCGCCTCATAATAATTGATATTCATGACTATTAATATTACACGACTACTTTAAAGGGAGAATGCAGGACCAAATGGAGCGTGAAGCTGGCAGCCAGCTCGAGAGCTCCCCTACTATTGTAAATGACGTTCATTCAGTGGAGAATTACTCGATGTAATCAGACGAGGGGGGCTGGCAGGGGCAGAGTTTGGGGAGAGGGAGAGGGGGGAAAAAGTTTAGCAGGGAAGAGGCAGAACTTCAATTAACTCGAGCGGGGGAAGACGTGGAAAGCAGAGACTGAGCAGGGAAGGGAGATGGAGCAGTGCTGGAGGCGAAGAAGAAGAAAAAAACGTATTTCTTTTTTCTTTCTTTTTTTTTTTTTTTCCCTTTCTTTTTTTTTTTTCTTCCCCCGTTTACGTTTAATTATACATTCCCAATACGGTGAATTGATTGCCTTTGGTGCTTTTGTTCTTGTAGATTTATTTTTTTTTTTTAACAAATAACGAGGAAAATAAGAGGCTTTCCTAATCCTTTCGCTTCTTTTTTATTCTCCCCCCCCCCTTTTTTT